GGGGGAAGCTTCTGAACAGACAATCTTTTGGTTAATGTTTTGTTACCACAGATACAAAAATAAAATCTGAATAATTTCTCTCAAATGATTGACGTCAGTATGGCAAAGCTGACTGGGAAAAATACTACACACTGTTCAGCTGCAGTGTGGCAATTAGAGACGTATTTACAGAAATGTCCCCATGGCTGTCCTTGTGCCCTTAACCAGTCTTCACAAACCAAAAAAGTACGTGTGGAGTAAGACTCGCTAGCGTAACTCTCCAAAGGGGTGGAACAGGACAGGGGGTGAAGGAAGATAGGACCAAAGAACTAAACAGAGCCGACAAACAGAAAGCGGCTGGGAAAAGTGTATTCTTACTGAAATAAATAGGGGCACCTGAACGGAGGTCTAACAAAACATACATTAGTGTTGTGCTTTGTAGAGAGAAGACCTTGAGAAAGACCTTGAGGAAAAACCTTGCAGGGGTTGGGGAAGGTGGTCTCTCAGCATTTGGAGGCTGGCTGAGCTTTGCTAGATAGTCTCCAGGTGGGGAAGAGATTCTCGTCTTCCATCACCGGACTGACAGCCCCAAACCAGTCACTCCAACAAATGAAGACGTCTACCAGCTACCTTATAAACACAGTGGGTATTTACACCGGTGATCTGACTAAGGAAATGCAACGGGCTCTCAGGTGAGCTGAAAACATTCCAGGACGGTAAGCACGGCTAGCACTCTCCCAGTATGACTGGCCGACTGGGAAAGAGTCCCTTTCCTTGAAGACTGATGTCCTGTGTGCCAGAGAGAAGGGATGGGGGGAGCAGGGGGAGAGGGACCAGGCCATGCCCTCAGCTGGCAGCCACCACAGGAAGGTCATGGCGGGAAGAGCAGCCAGTGTGGACAGGCCTGTCCCCCATGTTCCCCACGATGTTCTGATTGTACTCGGCTAGGTACAGGTAAACCACGCTTCACTCTTCTTTCTGCCCTAAGATTTGGCTATTCCTCGCAACAGATTAGAAAAATACTCTTCCGGCTAATTCGCAGCCGCTTACGTGGCAAGGCGACAGGCAGACCCAGCCTGCTGACTTGGCCATTTGTGCACCCAAAGTGGCAAGTCTGGGTTTGGAGTTGCAGGAGAAAGACACTTAGGCATTGGAAGGGTTTTTACATATGGCCTTGTTTTTTCCCAAGTATAAATGAAGAATTTGGTAACCTGAAATTGTGTCCGAAATGGAAAACAAAAACACAAACTCACGAACAAAATGCAACCCACCACTCCTCAAACTTATGACATTTAAAATTGCCCCCCGGTTAATAGAAAGTACCCACTGGGGGCAGGGGGTGGAGCTCCTATAGTTTTATTTACCAGAACCTTAGTGTTTTTCATCACTAGTTTGTGTTTGAAGAGAATATTTGGTTTCTAAAACAACAAACAAAATTTCTTATTTTATTAGCATTTTGTCCCAATATTGCTAAATTTTTGGAAGTGGTGGTGATGCAATTTTAAAAAGGTCTACCTTAGGGGTAACTGAGGAGGCTCAGAGAAATCTGAAGTCCCCTTTCCAGCCCTGGCCCGAGAGGATGCGATGCAGTTTTAAGGAATTTTCCTGAATCTCACAAGTTAGTCTGAAGTTAAGGCTCAATTCTCAGTCATTTTACGGGTGAATGTTTTGCATCGTGCAGAACTGGCAGATTT